CTTGAATTCAATCAATTCATCACAATTCACATAAAATTCGTCAATCAAAACCAAAACACAAACAATTATTCATCACAATTCACATAAAATAAATTATTAATATTTATAAATTTATTAATTTAATGTTATAATTGGTCAATTGGGTATTTATAATATACCAAATATAATTTAGTAAATTTAATATTAGAAACTAGTAATGTTATAATTAGATAAGTGATCATACTACAATGTAAATTGTAATGTTTAATTAATTAAGTGATCATACACAATGTAAATTGTAATGTTATAATTAATTAAGTAATATACTATTTAATTATAATGTAATATTATAATTAATTAAATTGTTAATCATTTAATTAAGTATTGTAATATTGTTTATAATAGAATGTTATATTAATTAATAATCTACCATAAATTTATAATGTAATGTTATAATTAATAAAATTATAATAATTTGATTAAGTATTGTGTAAATATAAATTCTATGTTTAATATATGTCATATCAATTAAGTAATCTTTAATTATTTAATGTTATATTAATTATATGATCTACTATAATAGTATATGTGTTATAATGAATTAAGTTCATACTATAAATCTATAATTTAATATTATAATTAATTATATTTCAAATCATTTGATTAATATACTAATGTTATAATGGAATGTTTAATTGATTAAGTAATCATATTATAAATATAAGATAATGTTAATTAATTAAATTTTTAATCGTTTAATTAAGTAATGAATAATATATAAATTAGTAATTACTAATGTTTATAATGTAATGTTTATAAATTCATAACTAATTATGATTATGTAATTATTTAACTATGTAATGCTATAATTAGTAAGTAATTATAATAATAATATTGTAATATAATAATATATAATTTATTTGAGTAATTATTTAATTATATGTAATGCTTAATTAATGTTTATATGAATGTTTATAAGGTAATGTTATAATTATTAAATTTCTTATCATTTAATTAAATATTGTGCTAATGTTTATGTAGTAAATTAGTAATTACTAATGTTTAAAACATAATATCATAACTCATAATCATTAAGTAATCATTTAATTATGTATGTTATATTAATTATATAATCATACTATAATAGTATATGTTAGTTTATAATGAATTAAGTAATCATATTAAAATCTAAAATTTATATTATAATTAATTAAATTTCAAATTATTGATTGATATACTAAATTATAATGAATTTTATAATTGATAATATCATATTATAAATATATAAGGTAATGTTATAATTAATTAAATTTTTAATCGTCTAATTAAGTAATGTAATAATATAGTAAATAGAAATTACTAATGTTTATAATGTAATGTTATAAATTCATAACTAATTAAGTAATTATGTAATCATTAACTATGTAATCTTAATTAAGTAGTGATTATAATATATAAGTAATTAATAATATTATAATTAATTGAGTATTATTTACTATAATGTAATGCTTAATTAATGTTTATAATGAAATGTTTATAAGATAATTGTATAATTAATTAATTTCTTATCATTTAATTAAGTATTGTGCTAATGTTTATGTAGTAAATTAGTAATTACTAATGTTTAAAACATAATATCATAACTCATAATCAATTAGTAATCATTTAATTATGTAATGTTATATAATTATTGATCATACTATAATAGTATAATGTAATGTTATAATGAATTAAGTAATCATACTATAAATCTATAATTTAATATTATAATTAATTAAATTTCAAATCTTTTGATTAATATACTAATGTTTATAATGGAATGTTATAATTGATTAAGTATCATTATTATAAATATATAAGGTAATGCTAAATTAATTAATTTTTAATCGTTTAATTAAGTAATGTAATATATAGTAAATTAGAAATTACTAATGTTTATAATGTATGTTATAAATTCATAACTAATTAAGTAATTATGTAATCATTTAACTATATAATGCTATATTAAGTAAGTGATCATAATATATAATGTAATTAATAATATTATAATTTATTGAGTAATTATTTAACTATAATAATGCTTAATTAATGTTTAAATGAAATGTTATAAGGTATGTTATAATTAATTAAATTTCTTATCATTTAATTAGTATTATGCTAATGTTTATGTAGTAATTAGTAGTTACTAATATTTAAATATGACATATTAATTAAGTATTTATTTAATATGTAACGATATATAATTTATTAATCATACTATAATGTAATGTTATAGTGAATTAACTATTAAGTAATCATACTATAAATTTTTAATGTAATATTATATTAATTAAAATTTTAATCATTTAATAAGTTGTACTAAGTTTTATAATAAATGTTATAATTGATTAAGTAATTATACTATAACTATAACGTAATGCTATAATTAATTAAATTTATAATTATAAGTCAATTAATTAACTATTTATTATGTTATAACTTATAAGTCAATTAATTAAGTAGTAATCAATTAATGTAATGCTATAATTAATTATACTATAAATCAATTAAGAATGTTATAAAATTATAATTAATTAAGTAATCATTTAACTATAATGTGTTATAATTGATTAAATATGATATTAACTAGTAATTATATTTATTAATGTTTATCAATTTATCATATATAATTAATTAATTCTAATTATTATATATATACTTAGAACTTGATAATTGAAGTAAATAACTAAATATATTATTACTCAATCAAATGTACTATTTTATTCAAAATTCTTTTAATAACATTAAAAATGTAAAACACTTTTAATTAGATCATAATTCCAATTATTCACTTAATTGATCAAAACTTTAATATTAATGTATTATAATATATTAAAGATTTTAATATGGTGTAATTTATATGTAATAAGTATAATTGTATTCGTATATTTATTTAATTAGGTTATTCTAAAAATTTAACTTTTTCTATTTTAAATTTTTTTATATGTAAAATAATAGAAACTCCCCCATTATTTACATTTCACAAATATTTTATTATAGTCCATGTTCCAAAATAGGTTCTAAACAGGTTCCAAAAACATGTTCCAAAACAGGTTCCAAATAGGTTCCAAAACAGGTTCCAAACCGGGTACCCCCTACAGGTTCCAAACAGGGTACCCTTTTTACAGGTTCCGGTTCCTCCACATGCAAGAACCGGAAATGGAACAGCACAGTAGTGGTTCTAAAAAATTGGAACCGGAACCTACCTGCACAGTGCAAGTTCTGGGTAGGTTCCGGTTCCGGTTCCGGTTCTTACCCCCGTTTCCGGTTCTACCCGCTACCCGTGCTCACCCCTAATGAACATGTTTCGTTGGGAGAGATTTGATATCGTTAACCGGTTGAAGCATATACATTTGTATTCGGTAGAAATTATTCACGTTGTGATCAATTTCTGACGAATGTAGTTGAGCTATATGCTGAATCAGTTGTTTTGTTTTATTATTTTTGTTGCTGGTTGGGTAAGAGTAGACTGTTGGTTGTAGGGTGCTGAATTCATAATAATAACGTAAATGTATATATTATTCTTATTCTGAATGTTTTCAGTATATATTATCGTCACATTTCAGTATATATTATTCTACATTTCATTTCAGATTTTAATTTTGCTATGTCTTTTGGTATGTTTAGTATTACATATACATGAGCATTCAGATATGTATTGAACAATAATTAATGATATGATACTGTGGCAAATACAATCTTCGCACATAACATTTATACTGAGAATTAACATTCATATGATATTGGAGAAGTTCAGGTAATTGAGAACATATTGTGAAATCAAACTTTATTAATTAACATATTTGTGTACATACAATTTAGTATTTGAACTACATATAATTACAATTAACATTCATAGTCCGCTCCCCAAAGATGTTGAGAAGGTGGAGGTTGTTTAGTAGTTCTTCATCCTAGTGTGGGGGGTGGAGGCTGACTAGAGGAGGACGAGGCTGGTGACAATTTCTTCATCATGTTGGATAGTTCTGTCATGCGTTCCCCAAGGATGTCAACCGTTTCTTCTATTCTTGATGCGAACAAGTTGAAATCACTTTGCAACTGATCTTGTTGTTCCTGCATTTTCCTCTAAATACGTAAAAAACTCTTTTCTTGAAACCTTTCGATCCGATCAATTCTGCTTACTATTTCGTCTAAGGTATGAGAAGACATTTCTTCTACATTCTGAGAAGATCCAGGTTCAATACTTTTTATTCTTCTTTTGCGCACATAGACTTGTCCTTCATTTTCCCCTTCTGGAATAGGGACACCTTCCTGAACCGTTGCCTCTTCCTCCATTTCATCCCTAATCAGCAACCATTCTCCTAACACATCCTTTTTAATCAAACCCATTTTAGACAATGTGACATCCCCAACAAATTATTTGTAGAAAATGTTATCTTATTGGCTTCATCTGAAGGGCTGATCTCAAAACCCAACTTCTCACATATTAGCGTAACAACCATCCCCCAATAAATGCCACGTTTTTCTGCTTTAATCTCACCCAACTTCTTAATCAATAACTTTGTTGAATTTACCTGCTTTCCTATTATTGTTGCTTCCATCAACAATAAATCCTTCACTATCACATTTTCATTTGTCTCTTTCTTGCAATTAAATGTGAATGTCAGAAATCTGTGAAAAACTCTCATGGCAGGATTCTTTAACTTTGTAGATTTATACCTATGTGGATGATAAACCCCTATTCCAGAAACATCCGTCCAAGCTTGTTTGGAATCCCACGTTCTGGGTACGTTATCCAAACCTTCAAAATCAATCCCTATCCAGTTTGCTAAGTCTTGTGGCCTCACTACACAATTCTGATTCTTTGATATAAAAAACATTGTATACGGCGGTAAATCATCAGTACTTGTCTCCACAACTTCCAAACTACTAAAAAACTCGTAAATCAAATGCTTATATCCATCATATCTAATACTCACCAACTTGTCCCATTTCAAATTACGGATCCAACCATTAATCTCATCACCTAATCCCAAACTAGTTATAAATCCTAAATCCGAACTTCTTCCAAGACAAATATCTCTTTTCGTCATCTCTTTGTATTGCTTTTTATGTTGCACGTCTCGAAATTAGACTCCAGCTGACGATGTGCCTCCACCCTGAGTGGTTGTGTTTTTTGCTCTTACCATTTTCTGCTTTCTTCTAAAACCAGCAACTTCCTGGAAAAAAACATATCCATAAGTAATTCATTTTATATGACAAAACATATATGACATTAAACCAATATTACAACCATAAACTTTAAAGCACAAACAACATAACCATGTATCCCACTTTAACAGCATACTATCAAAATCAATCACATTGTAGACAATCGAAAGAGAAATTAATCAAAATGGCAGCATATTTTGTTTATTGCAAACCCAATGGTTTTAAAGCAAAATCTTTATTCTTTGCATATTCCATTTCAACAAAGGACAAAATAACAAACACAAGCAGGTTCCATCACAGAAGAGAGAAACATGAAAACTCCAAAGTAATAACCACAAGGTAAAGAGATGTATTAGTTTAAAGACCTTTTCTTTCTTTTATCTTTTTTTTTTCAAACCTTTATTTCTCTTTCACTTTGGGTTCTGGGATGCAGGGTCCCTTAGTTTCAGTAATTGTTACAAAAAAGGTGCTAGTTTTTGTTAGACCATATACATTATAGTATTATAATATCAAAGCTAGATTAGATTCAAAAGACCCCCTCCAGAAAGAAAAGAAAATGAGATTAATGTGTTTCAAAAGATAGAGATTTTTTTGTGAAGCTATATTGGTAATTGAGCCAGTAAAGTGGGAAGAAAAAGAGTAATAATAGAGTCCTGAATCCGGGTAGACGAACCTAGATGTATCAGCAATGTGTACAATTATTGGAGGGTTTTGGTTAGCCCTAGAAAGGGCATGGTGAGTGGTGTGGTTTGGTGAGTTTGACTATTGACCCTAGTTTCTTTGGCTTCTTTTCAAACATTTTGGCTGCAAAAGTTTGCCATTGCATCAACTGGTTGTCTTGTTAATGGACGCTTGTTATGCATCATTTGATTATGAGGACTCAGAGTAAGTTTCTCACTATATCTCTCTCATGCACACACATACATTCGCATATGTGCACCCACAAGCACAATTTGAATCATAAAGAATGGCACCAGCCAGAGGATGTGATATTCCAGTTCGATTTCTAATGTTTGGAGGGAGTTGTAACTTTTTTTATTACTACTGGACCTACTGGGAGTTTTACTGACTACTTAGAAATTCACACCCTTGGACAGCCTATCTCATGCCACTTGATAAAATTGATTTTGTATGAAGCCTCCCAACAGACTTTCCTCATATTTGGAGTCATGTCTCAATGTGATTCATCATTAAGATAATTTCTCATTTCTTCAGAAGGCAGTGATTTTAGATGCTTTGATGGTTTTACTTCTCTTTGACACATACTGAGCGATGTTGTTAACAGATACCAAGAATCTGATTTGGTGAAACTTGATATCCTCTTAAGTGGACAACAAGTTGATGCAATGGCAACAATTGTTCACAAATTTTCGAGTCAACCTGTTAAAATTTTGCAGCCAAAATGTTTGAAAAGAAGCCAGAGAAACAATTGTTCACAAACTTGGAAAGGCTTGTAAGAATCATAAAAATGACTTGCTCCCAACCAACAAAAATGTTAGCTTTTTCCAAGCCAAAAACACTCGAAACAGAACACTTCTATTTGTCAATCACACAAACCAGTCCCACCAAATTGACTGGATTTCTCTTTATCAACTCAATGCCATTCAACACAAATGTAGAATCCAACACATTCATCCAACATAAAAAAAAATATATATATATATATTGAAAAAGGAAAGTGTCTAATTACCAATGGCAGATGAGGAAGACGAAAAAGAAGAGCACAGATGAGGAAGACGAAGAAGAAGAGCGCAGATGAGGAAGACCAAGAACAACAGCGCAGATGAGATGAGGAAGACGAAAAACCAAAGCGCATATGAGATGAGGATGACGAAGAACCAGAGCGCAGATGGAAGAAGAAGAAGAAGAAGACCGCGGTTGATTTGTTTTAATTTTAAACACTTCCCCCAAATTTTTTTAACCTAATACGTTTTTTAATTACAGTACGGACGCCCGTCCATTCCTTATGGATGGGCGTCCATTACTGACGGACGGCCGTCCTTACATAATGAACAGGCGTCCATTCATTAAGGACGGGTGTCCATTACTTACGGACGCTCGTCCATACTTAAGGGATGCCCGTCCACAATTTATGGACCGACGTCCATTCCTTACGGACGTTCGTCCACACATTAGGGATGCCCGTCCACAATTTATGGACGGACATCCTAGGTTTTTTTAAAATTTTTATATTTACATTATGGACGGGCGTCCCTTATTTGCGAGCGCCCGTCCAAAATTAAGGGACGGTCGTCCATAACTGATGAACGATCGTCCTTAAATGTTTCTTAATTTTTAAAAACGATTGTTTATGGACAGGCGTTCATTAACATATGAACGTTTGTCCAATATTTATGGACGGCCGTCCCTAATTTTTTTTTTATATTTTTTATTCCATTTACTGATGGACAAGCGTCCTTTAAATAGGGATGTCCGTCCGTAGTAAATGGACTTTTATCCATATAATATGGACGGGAGTCCATGTAAGTGAACGGCCGTCCATATTTGGTGAACGGCCGTTCACTAAAAAAAAATTTAATAACGTCAAATGTGTTGAATGGTGTGAGTCACGGGACACGTAGGCTGGTACAAGATTTCGGTGTAAAAATCTCGGTGTCTGTAGCATTGTTGTTTATATAATGACATGTGTACATAGACCACAAATAATATCTCAAAAGAGAACAAAATTAGTTCAATTAAAAACAGAATGCAATACCTGTTGTGCAAAAATATCTACGTGACTACTAAGATTCGGAAGTGCCCACACGATATAATGGAAAACAGAATTAATTGAAACGATATAATGGAAAACAAGATAAAATGAAGTGATCACTTTGACAAAGAGTCGTCACATTGAAAATGAAACAAAAATGACTTTGCAAGAATAAAAATAAGGTGCTCATATCACGGCTAATGTAACCACAATAGAATCATAAGTTAACAAATAACTTACAAATCTGAAATTTTTTCTTTACTTGGTTTATAATATATATACACACACATATTTATTTAAATGAATTATTATATAATTATGAAATTTGAATCTAATTATTTTGTCGAATTTGTATTATCCAAACCATAATACAATCCCAAGAAATTGGTCCAACCCAATACATACACCAAGTGCTTGCTTAATGAAAGTATAATGTTGTAATTTTACATCAAGAAGATATCTAATAATTTTGACTAAGAAACATGGCCAAAAGCACTGCTACTACTCTCCAGTAGTCCATACTTTCCCGAGGCCCTCTGAATTGTAGGGCAAGGATGGCCACTACGAATATAACAATTCAAAAACTGAAACCTTAATGTACAGAAAATCAGTCCCAACTGTCCCGACTTCTTCGAAATGCCTTCTTATCTGAAAGGGTCTTTTTACTTTTAAGGCGTTTCTGCTCCCCGATTGCAGCCCTTTAAAACATAAAAGACAATAGGTCAATACATAGCCCTTCAAAATTCAAGAACACTAATGGAGGGTTTATTTACTTAACACTTTATAGAGTTTAGTTACACCAAATACTCAATAGTTTTAAGAAGGCATATAGGGAGTTTGTTTTATAATTGATGATATCTAAAAAAGAATTTCCATGTTTGAAATTTGCTTATATGTCCTTTGATTGATAGTAGTAATTATAGTTATAATCATATCATTTAAGTGATAATTTGATTGAAAAAAAAAAAAAAAAAACCGAAAGACTTGAAACTGTTTATGTTTAACTTGCTACTTTTGTTAAGAGTGCCAGTAGAAGTGCAAACAGAAAATTCAAATTTCACCTCTAAACTACATAGAATCAAAATAATTCAAATGAAGACCAGCATAGAATCAAAATAATTCAAATCATATTATACAACATAGGTTGTTTCAGCACTTACAACTTAGCAATTTTCTTCTTCTGCTCTTCAGAAGGAGGTGGTGGGACGTAAGAGGCCGCATCAATGATTGCCTGTTTAGTGAATTCATAAGAGGTAAAAGGTCACAGTTACAAAAAAAATTAAAAGCATCACACACAGTGGTGAAACATCTACTTTAAGATTAATGTAATGAATGTCAATTATGGTCAATTCTTTAATGTACCAGACAAACATGCAGATAAAATCTTGTCTAAATCATCAGCATAAGATCATCAAGGGCAGTTTATAATATTTAGAGCTCTAGTTTAGTTTATGGAAAAAATATGACAGCGACTTATCATTGCAGAAACAAAGTGATGCAACAAGCAACTACAGTACTAAGGTACCTGTAGTTTCCCCAAGGCATCTTCAACGTTACCCCTGAAGAAGAATGGTACAATCAAACTATTTGCTTTCACAACATATAAGCAAAATGGACAGCAGAAAAAAGAAGAAGAGGAACAGAAGCTAACTTCTGTGTTCTAGTCTTTGTTGAAGAAATTACAATTTCACCATCCTTGTTTATTCGATTTTTCTCCTGTTCACATACAAAACAACCATTTGAGAACCTGAATAAAGACAAGCAAATGGCTACCATGACCAATTTCTAGAAAAGTAGTCACAAACATAAGAGTTAAATGAAATTCAAAATGAGGCCATCCATTTTGTAGACACCCACCCACCCATACACACATTTACACATTCACTCACACATGCACATAGACAGCAAGGATTATTCTTGGGGTTATTGCACCTCTTGACAAATTACAAAGAGGTGTGAGAATGTTTGCTTGATGTAAGCCACAGGAGTTTGAGGGTGCCATTCATGATATCACAAGATGACTAAACAATTTATTCAATCAAAATATACTGAACATTTACAATAATCTAACTGAAAACAATTAAATGATTTTCAACTGAAAGGAGCACGAAAGCTAACTTAATAACACAACAGTCACATATTTTCAGAAAAGTCACCTAAGATCTCTCTGATAATTTATAATCTCTCTTGTATTTATGGCTAGGAAAGGGGAAATACTGTCATTCAGTTCATAGCTGATAAAATCCATACCTCCCATGTCTAGAATCCATAATTTTACTAGACATTAATCTTGAAACTATTTATTTTTACCAGTTTTAGAGCCATTCACTGAACTGGGAATTATGCATTCTAAAACTATCTATTCTCAGCTTTTGGCACTTTTTTAACATTCACAATTTCATCATACAGAAAAATATTAAATTTTAGTCATTATAGAATCTTTGGATTCTAAAAATAATCAGAATCGCCTCAAGAAATCCTAGGTGATATAAAGAAGGCCCTACTCTCGCTTCCTTTTTTTTTCTTTTTTCTCTATTATATTAAAGTTAAAAATCTCACAAAACTGACTGATCTGAAACTAGAGCTCAGAACCCTATAATCCAATATAATAGAACTCTTATCCCCTATTCCTATCTTGATTAATTTTTATATTCATGCAACAATGACTTTCAAACATACAATAAGAAATGATAAAAAAACAAACCATTTGCATAATCCTCTGTCTGACCCTGTCACTCAGCCAGTACGCATTTTTAACATTGAAACGCATGTCCACCTTAGTGTTCACTGTAAAATCAATTACAGTCACATACCTATTAAGAGATGCGAAAACCAAATTTGTGAAAAATTAAAACACAAAATAGAAGTAGAGAGCAGCATACCTTTGTTCACATTTTGACCTCCAGGCCCACCACTTCGAGCAAAGCTAACAGTCACATGATCTGCAAGCAATGCTGATTGGGTTAAGTTTAATGATGACTTGTCTCTCTTAAACGAAAATGATAATTAAATTTCAAGTACCTAGCGTAATTTTAGGGATGGGGTCATTGCCAGCAGAGCTGGCTCGCTCCTCGGCTTCTTGCAATAGTTGCTGAACTTGAGACAGCCGAGCTGATACCTTCTTGTCGGAGCCAGAATCAGAGGCGGCGCAACGAACACCGCCAAAGCTGACTGAACGTTGGATACTTAAACGGTCTAAGCCAGGTAAAGTGAAACGGATCGGTGATATGAAAACGGAGGAGGATAATGGTCGATGATGAAGCATTTCTTTAAAGATCGTGTTTGTTTTGCTTCTAATTGTCATTTTTTTTTTTTTACACCCTTTTCAAGTGAAATGAAAACCCTAATAAAACACAGCCAGATGTTATTGGTGGTTGCTGTTAATTTGAAAAATTATACTACATGCTCCATTAAATCTACAAAAAGTAATGTTAGCCTTACTATCTCCTTACTAATACCATACTAATTGACTTGATGCTAGGTGGCAGATATCATCTCATATACATCAGTTAATTACCACGTCAACCAATCCCAAAAATAAAAGAATTAAAGGTAAAAAAAATTGATTCATCATCTTTCTGTGAATCTATTCCCTCCCAAATCAGCCTCCTAAAATTGAAATGAAACCTAAATTGAAATCTCATTCCTTCCCCTAAATCAGATCTCTCCCACCAGTCTATCATCTTCCACCACTAGGGCCGGCGTGTGTAATAACTATTTCCTACTCAAATACTCATAAAAATATACATAATAAAATACATGTATAATAACATAATAGTGAGCCCAAATTTTTTTTTTATATAACATATACATTCTTTATACAAAATTAGTATCATAAACAAAAACTATCAAAAACTATGTAGACAGTGTAGCATCCTCCGCGTGCCGACGTATCCGACCGTGTCCTCACCTAAATCCTGCAAAAAAATATAAAGACAACGGGGTGAGCACGAATAATGCTCAGTAAGTAAACCTCTAGTCATCTATCTGTAACTCTCTCTCTCTAAGTCTTTCCTTACAATTCTCATTTACTCTCTCTTTATACTTCTCTCTGTTTTCTCTTTCTGTTTCTCTCTCTTTGTTTCTCTTCTTAGAACTCTTTTCTACTAACTCTCTTTAGTAAGTCAGGCCCATCTTACCGGGGGCACGGCCGGACTCGCTCCCGCTCTCCGTGATTCTACGTTCTAGTCGATCGGACTCGGTTATGCATGGATTCGGAACCCTTGGCCATGTGAGTATTAATCTCTCTTCGGATACTCTCGGGTATAGCCCTCATCCACATGCACTCTCACGGCTACACCACTTCTCTCTCTCATACTCATGCCGCTCTCTCAATGCGGCGTACATGCGAGAATACTCTACCTATTACTCAGGGTTTTCCATCGCACAACCTACTCTATTCTTTTTCTCTCTTTTTCTTAATAAAGCTCACACTCAAAGTTCTCTACTCTTTTTATATCTTTCTCTAATGCATAATTAATGCATATGGATGATTCATGCTCATTAATGCACTCATGAAATGCACAAATGCAAGTTGCATCAAGATAGTCATTCTGCACAGCTCACACTCAAGAAGGCAAACTTTAGTTATACACATCAGATTGCTACAATTTTTGTCTCGTTTTAAAGCTTAGAGACAGGGCTATAACGTTTATGTTTTGGTCTAAACCCAGTTCAATCCGTAAGATGCCCAAAAATACTAGAAAGTCTGGCTGTGACAGGATAGTTGGTAACATGTTTTCACTTAGGCATTTCATCAAGCAAATAATGTGCATACAAGAACTCTACTTATATAACTTTCTTTCCCTCTTAACATCCAAAATGGGAGGAAAACACCCTCATATAGTCATAATTCCTGCCAAGGAAATACTCCAAAAATATTCATGCAAAATCCTCAAATTCAACTCAATTTCAATCTCTCTTCACACAGCAAACACTTTCATAATTAAAGTGTATTCAACAACCACAAAGAAATATTCATCTCAACCATTCTCAATAACATAACATATTATACATACATAAATCTCTACTCAATCTCTACTCAAAGGATTTCTCAAATCTCAACTTAGGTTGGATTTACTTACCTTGAATTGAGGCAACTCCAACACTATAATCTCTCCTTGATAGAATTCCCTTTCCTCTTAAACCCTTAGCATATAAAACCATAAGAATTCAAAACTTTAAAATTTAACTCACATCTTGATGCAAGAATCTTACCTTTGGATGCTATGATTGAAAATCCACTCAAAAATACCCAAAATCTATGAATTTCCTTGGAAATCTAGTGAAGAAATTTGAGAGAATTTGAGTAGAGAATGGCATGAATGGGGGGATAGAGTCGCTAGGGTTTTTACTCTTGAACTCTTATTACATATATATATATAGTTTCCCATTTTGCCCTTGCTCTTTCTTGAAAATTCCATCTATGTCCCTTAGTCAATTCAATAATGCCCTCATTTTTATTACATTCTCCATGAAATTCTATCTCTTTTCACTCCCCAAGTTTTCAACTAATTTTGAGTGAAAAGACCATTTTACTCCTAATGAAAGTTTAAGGGATTTTCTTCACATTTTTCTCAAAATAACTTTAACAAAATTCAACTAAGGGCCAACCAACCAAAAATAACAACATGCAAGCTCAAATGAGAACAAATCAATAAACATTCAAGCAATGCAACAATAATTTAACTACATACCTCAAGTGGGGCGTTACAGGCTGGCTGTTGTCTTGCACCACCATTGGACATCGTTCTTCCTCTTCCACCACCGCGACCTATCGTCTTCCTCCACCACCCGCCGACATTGTTTACTCTTCCTTTTACACACTACTCTATCATCTTCCTCAATTTCTTGTCTAAATCAGTTACCCCAAACCAAACTCGAAAACCACACAAGGGTTTTGTTTGACTTCTTGAGTGGGTTGGGAGAGTTCGCTTTTGCATATGCAAGTCATAATGTGGTTCTAGAGATCCAAGCAACAATTCCCTCAACTCCTGAGAATCCATCAAAATGACCAATGTGGAAAAGAGTAGTTGAATATATTGTTGGAGCTTTGTATTACTTCCCAGTCTCAATTGTTGGTTTCTACATTTTCGGAAACAATGTTAATGACAACATCCTCATCACATTAGAGAAACCCATTGGCTTGTTGCTGTGGGTAATATTTTTGTGGTCATCCATGTCATTGGAAGCTACAAGATTAATCTAATTCAATAGTCACTCTGGTTTCATCATCTTTCGAGTTTTACTTTTGTATCTGAATTATTTCAGAAACGTTTTAACACTACTTCCCCTTATTTTGGGAAATTGCATATATTTGCAATGCTAGTGTTCAACATGCTTGAAGCTTTTTTGATGAAGAAGTTGCATTTCACACCTTCCTTCTTTCTTCTCCTTCTTACCCGAAGTACATATGTTGGTAAGTACATGCCCAACTATTCTCTTTTCTCTCCTGGGAACACAAACTAATAAAGTAATTTCTTTTATCTTTGTTAATTCAGCATTTACAATGGCAGTGGGTATATGTGTTCCTTTCTTTGGTTACTTGCTTGGATTCTTTGGAGGGCTTGCTATGAGTGGATGAAGATTATGATGATGATGATGATAAGCTGAGGGTGTTCTATCACCCATTGGTGGGCTAAGATTGATAATTGTTTCTACCAAAAATTAGGATTTTTTTCTCATAAATTGCTTGGTGAGAGAGAAAAATGAAGGTGCTATGAGTAGATGAAGAATATGATGATGATGATAAGATGAGGATTTTGTTGGCTTGAGGCACATCTAAGCAGTAGTTTGTGTAATTTGGCTGTACATAAGAGTGCTCATGTGAATGTGTATGTCTCGACATCTTCCTTAGTTATATGTAAAAATATTAAGTTGTCCTTCAACATTTCAGACCCTCATTTCATCAACTTGTACTCTTATTTATCTATGTTATGTTAAGAAACGACCCAATTACGCAACCAAAAACAAAAATTAATAACATGATAGATCGGTCCTTAGAACCAAGATCTGGGTACAAATTTACAGTTTATACAATATATATTAAATCTGCAAAAAAATCAGTCCAAGGTTTAAGAAATCATACGCACGTTTGGAGGCTCCTCTAAGTTGTCTCTGAACGTATTTTGCTACCGACCCAAGTATAGGATCGAACCGATGTAGTTCACACGAAGACAATCGCAAGGAACTAAAGAAGGATTTGCTAGATCCTCTTTAGCCTTAAGAACAAAGAAGGAAATGAAGAGTATTTGATTTTTCAATCAAAACTAAAACTGGCGTGGGAGAGTGTGTTTTGGGGCTGTGGGTTTTTCTTTTTAATCAAAGGAATGAATAATGAATTCTCAACCTTTTTCAATTAAAACTTTTCTTTTATAGTGATATTTTAATTGCCCTGTTCTCATATGAAATAGACTTGGGCTCCAACCCAAACACCCCTTGTTTCCAAACACTCCCAATTAGATATTTATTTTAGTTCATCATTATCTCAATTAAAATCAATTAATATATATTAATATTTAACAATATTGATAATATATTTAAATATATGCGAACACATATTTAAACGTAATTTCACTTATTTAATTTTTCTAACAAATTAAATAAAGGCTACGACCTCAGCAAATTTAATTGCACTGTGAAATTACCAAAATACCCTTTCGCCTAAAAAGACGAAAACGCCCTTCTAACTTCCTGGCTTTTAAATTATCTTCTATGTGTGTGACCCATAGGCTCCTTATCATACCGGCAGTGTATAGTATCGTGATTAACACCAATTAATCGTCTCACTATATACAGACTAAGATTGGCCCCTAGCAATGCATCATGGCAACCCGATAGATTCGGATTCAGCAAAGTAGCTACCTATCAACGATATGGTTACTGTACAATTCGATCCTTTCATCATCCATTATCTCTACGAGACCGAGGCATAGAAATAGTATCAACCTTCGGTTACTCTCGATATTGTATATTCAATTACTGGACCAATGACTTATATTATAAACTGGATAGAGCAACAACTCAATCCCACTATGGCCACAGTTTTAGTGTCATTGCCATTTACTAAATTGCGCCATGAGATAACTTCTCCCGTACCTATGAGTGATGAATCCTCTGTCTATCTACCATAGTCTTGATACACTCCTTGATGCAGCCAATCACCACCGTATTGACAGCTTTGAAAAGAAATGCGTTAGGCTAGTGTCAAACTACATCAATCGGTGCACAAGGTGCTCCAGTGATCTCAAGTCTAAGGATCACATACATCACCATTCGTTAGAGGATTTGTTCCATAGACACTGGGGTTACCATCCATGTGGAATCCTCTGGTAGGTCAGTCCAATGAACTTGCCTATAGTATGCACC